CGCCGCCTTAATTGTCAAAAAATTGCAATTTTAAAATTTGTGTTCGGGTGATGCAATACTTTTGACCGCCACTGTATCTCCAGGATCATGGATGTAGCTTATTTTTTTCTCAAAATTTCCCATATGCTGGTTTATCATAACCGGATTGACGATTCTAATCACCCGATTCGATCCTTGGACTACTACAAAACATAAAAGAGGCAAGAACATTCGATTAGTTTTTTATCTGTATCGTGTTAAAATTGAGAAATACTAATCGATATCCCTTAAACGGTTTGCGGGCCAATTTGCAGGATCAATGATATACTAGTTCAACTTGTAGGGAGATACCTAGTATTTCTCGGACAGTTTGTCATTTTTTCTTACCGTTTAAGGGATAATACTTATCTTTTCATCGATGGTCCTAATTTCATTTATGATCATCGTTTCGAGATTTCGAGATAAACCTTAGGGAGCATTTCGGGTTATATACTAATTTTGTTTTAGTTTCGATAAGTGAAAAAATATTTATATAGGAAGAAATCTTCCTTATGTTTCAACAGTATGGCCAAGCGAACTTTTAGCGAGTCCTAATTTTATACGTAATGAAATTGGTGAGATTCCCCTGAAAGATCTGGCACTATAAAAACAAGCGAGAAATTACATGGCTTTTTTTTTCGGAAAACGTTACCATGGAAAACCAAGAGAGCTCAGCTAAAGGAAGTCCCCTGATGAAGAAAACCCGATCACTGCTGAGAATATCAATTTGGAGGGTATCATAATCACCTCTACTCAAAGCAGTGATATTTATAATATGCAACCAGCTTGCAACAGAGCCCTAAACATACTTGCGTTAAATATATTAAAGTATCTCCTAGAGGACAATCTTCGCGGGGAGCCGGATTTTTCATCGATTAAATCCAACGATACTATTCCGGATTATGGGCCATATGGAAAATGTGATAATCCCATTTTAACAGAAGACCCACCTAGATCGCTTGTTCTAAATGTTTGTGGTGATATTGGTTCATATGGCATGGCCGATGTTAGTGATCCATTATTACCTTTCCAATACAAAACCGTTGATGATGGTAGCGTGGAGGAAGGTGCAAATAATTCACAAGATGAGGTTGTGACTTCTACAACCCTGAATGAATCCCACAAACGGCCAAGTGTGGAGAAAAAAAACGAAAGTTAAGAAGGGATCGAAAGTCACATTGCATGAATCACCTATGTTGAAAAAGCTTATCGAGGAGTTGAGTACTTCACCAAGTTCTGATGAGGATAACTCAGAATCGCAACCCAAAACTTCAGAGAAGTTTTAACGATTTGTATAATGCAATAATCGAGGCTGAGGAGAGAATCAGGAGTACAAATCAAGAAATTCTTAAACTTGAGGATAGATTTGTCATCTATAAAAATTTTATAGGGGTCAGAGAAGACTAAACTATGAATTCGTGAAATACATCCCACTTTTAAAAAATATATTTGAGATGAAAGTAGAAAGAGATCGGAAGATTTGAAATTCAGCAAAATATTTGAACTTTATTTTGTATTATTTGCAAATGTATATAATATGCTATTTTTTATCATCTGTTTATCTATCTATGTAAATAAAATATATATGATAAAAAGAATTGATCATTTAATTCATGTCGTATAGAATACCAACTTCATTTAAGTACGAGAAAGTATACTAAGCACATCATTAAATTCGAGCGTCCATCCACACCTAAGAGGTAAGTGCTCATTCCAATTCATTATATAATAAATCGGATTTTGGTTAGCATCCCAATGAATTATGTATGGAGCTTGATTAGATCTTTGATTTCGTTGTTGAGTCGCCGGAACTGTGAATGCCCCAGGAAAAGGATTCTGACGAAAGCGATTATTTGAAGTAGGAAGGGCGATTCCAATAAATTCGACCGCATGATGTGTTTGCTGAACATTAGCAATTCTCACCAACGCGTTACTACGATCTGGATCTTGGTTATAAAATACCTGCAAGGTTCAAACCTGATAAGTAAAGCAATTTACAATTCTTCTCTGCAAGAATTTATTTACCTCTATGTATACGTTTGGTGGTGGACACCGATTTATAATTGGATGACGACATTGTGCAAACGGTGGTGCTTGAAACCAGATGCCAACATCAGGTTGATAACTATTGCCTCCAGCCACACATATTGTATTTAATGATACGGACCAAGTTGGATTATGTACCCTAGCTGAGACCAAAAGTTCAGCTTGAATATCTTCTTTGATTTTTCCATCGCACTAAATAAATTGGTCAGATTTAATAATAATACAGTAAATGTAAATGTAGTTCGGAATAAACATTACCTTAATAAATATGTCACCATCAATTATTTGAGCATTATAATTACTATGTATGGTCTCACGTATGTGATTATCAACTTTTTCAAGATCTGGGATATTGATCTTTATAACGTTTTGACCTTCCATTTGCGTTAATGAGTCATCAATCTTTGCGAAGATCTATCATACTTCGTTAGCCATAATTGCCATTTCTTAATTTGTTTTAAACATCACTTAAATACCTGGTTAATTTTGGAGGCTCGTCTGGTCTCCCGAGTCACTTGGATGGGCATGTCTTCCGAGCCTTCTGTTGTGACACTCATTTTGTTTTTTGTTAGGATTAAAGGAAAATGACAAACGGGAAACAAGAACAAATGGTAACAGAAAAAAATCCTTTATAACCTTTCCATAATAAATCGCGATACTACGCCACCTCATGTGATAACGCAGGGTAGATCGATCACCTGAAATGCGCAGTACGATATCGGAAAAACTCTTGCCGAAGAATAGGGGTTGTGTGACGTGCGAATCGCATATATATTCGCTTAAATGAAAAAAAAAATTCGAATATTACAACTATGTAAATAAGCAAATATAACGGGCATACTCACTGCGTATCTCAGTGTGAAAAAGTGCCAGTGAAACGAAAGTTACTTAGTGAAGTATCGGACGAGACATTACGCAATTAAGGGTAGGTTTACTTTCAGTTTAGGCTGAGCATTTGCAAGATAGCATCTTCAGAGCTTGTAACTAATACATAGTTTTCCTTTTAAGGTTCTCGTTAGCGTCACGACCGATGAAACGTAGGTTAGGATAAAAACAACGAATATAGCGGGTTACTAGGTGGTGGATAGAATAGACGCAATGAACAGGATAGTCTATCATGTATGAAGCGGGTTCCTTTAAGACTAAGGCATAGAAAAAATCATCATGTATCATGGACCAAGTTCCGCATCATGGAATTTATTTTTAGTGGTCCCTTTGCTTTCGCTCCTTTGGCTAGGATCAGGCTCAATGTATTACAAATAAAAACGTTTAGGGTACTAAGTGACCCGCAAAATGAAGTCAATTATTTTTCTCGTGTAGGAGGTGATTGGTGTAATTCTTCTGGAATCTACATACTAATTTTTTATTACTCAAGCATATATGTATGTTAATACAGGGTAATTTAGAAAATCTGGATCGGCTAATTATTGGGCAATATGATTTCCAGCGAAGAT